AGAGAGAGAGAGAGAGAGAGAGAGAGACAGCTGTGCACCTTTCCCGGACGCAGGTGACACCCCTGACAAAGCCCTTCTTGCTGCTCTCGCCGTGGAAGCAGCCCTCGACCTCCAGATTTCTGGAGAGCACGAGCCTCAGGCTGTGTGCATGTGGTTTTCCACGGTGGGGCGACAGGGCAAGGACCCCCAGAAGAGGTGCCACCTCAGTTTCCCTCCACAGCTCATGTCCGGCCTGTGGTCTGGGGAGGAGAGGAAGGGCGGGGGTCCCCCAGGGGGCCCTGGGGTGTGCCCAGGGGCGTGGCCACGGAGCCGAGATTGAATGCCCCTGCCCCACGCCAGGCCCCCGGTCGATGCCAGGGGGCGGCACCCTGTCATTATGGGCTATGAAGTCCTCCGGAGGCCCAGGCACAAAGAGGTGGCTTCCAGAGGGAATATTGGCTCAGGCTGTCTGCTCAGCAGGGCCCCATGCCCTCTCCTGTGCCCACCGCCTCTGCAGTGTTCGAAGCCCTGCCCTCTGTCCCTGGGGCGGGGACGGGTGGTCTCTGTCTGCCCTTTTGATTCCTGCCCTGTGGCCTGGGGACCGACACCACGGAATCCCTGAAAGGACGGTGTCTTGGGAGCTGGGAATCCCGGGCTCAAGACGCTGCAGGACCAGAGAAATCACGCGCCTGGGGCCTCAGTGTCCCCTCTGCAGAATGGGTCTACAGACTCCTCAACGGTCTGCCAGCAGGCGCTCCAGATCACCCTCTGAAGGCTTGAGCCTGGGAGGCCCCGGAGGCAGGGGGACCCATGGTCAGGCCGGAAAACACGAGGTGCTGAGTCAGGAAAGAAGCATTGGCCGGTGTGGACCTGGGGGCATGGAGGAGGGGCCCACACCGGGCCCAGCATGGCCAGCCAGCCCCGGAGGGCGGCTGTGTGGGACAGGCTTCCCAGGACGGGCCGACATGCACACAGACAGACACCTAGTCAGGTGTAGCTGGAGGCCAGAGCAGGAGGGTGTCCATGGGCTTCTGCCCTCTGCCCACGGCCACCTGGCCCCAGGGAAGGATGTGGAAAGCTCAGCCCCCACAGAGAACTGGCATGCGGGCCCCCGCTGGCTCAGGTAGGCGAAGGAATTAAAAAACAATATTTGTGTCAGCGGAAGACATTTGCCGAAAGGTCAAATCCACACTCAGCAAAGGTCCGCACGCCTCTTGCGCGGTATTTAACCCCTGCCCGCGCCCCCTGGGCAAACGGACGGGCCTGGACCACATCACTAAAGGGTCCCTAGCAGCCCACCCCAGAGGGGGCAGATGAGAGCCCTGGGGGGCCTCCTGGCGGCAGGGAGCCTGCCCAGGGTTTCAGGAGGCCTGGATGCCGGGTGGGACCCTGGGGGCTCAGGCGCAGCCACGGAAGCCTGCACCCTGGGGTGGAGCCTGACTCCCGCCCTCACTGCTAGGGTCTTGGGGCAAATTCTTCCACTGCCATCCAGGGCCTGTGTCCACCCCCTGTGGAAAGGCCTCCTCTGGGCCGGGCGTTAGAAGCAGAGGCCACTGAGATGTGTCCTTGAGCCCAGAGGCTAGGAGACGAGACAGGTGGGGGCCTACACCAGGTTCCAGGAGACGCAGTGGGGCCAAGCTGGTGGGCTTCCTGCCCTCAGGGTGTTTGTAGAGCAGGAGGCATGAGCCAGGAGGAGAGCAGAGGAGGGAGGTTAATACCAGAGGCAAGAAAGCATGGCCGTCGCAGGATGAATGGTGGCTGAGCCGAGCTTTGTGGGATGTGTAGGAGCTCGCCGGAAGAAGAAGGGGGTGAGTGTTTCAAGCTGGGCATCGTGGAGCCCCACGCCCTCCTGGAGCAGGAAGTGGGACTGGCCCAGGCTGAGAAGACCAGCGGGGGTGGTGGGAGCAGGCATTTCTCTTCACACTGACTGAGGCTTCAGGCTGCCTTGAGGGGGTGGTGGGGAGCCACAGACAGTTGTGAAGCAAGAGAATGACAAGGTCAGACCAGTGCGGGGAACGGGCCTGGAGGAGAGGGGGCGGCCGGCCACTGTGATGAAGAGTGGGTGGGTCCTGGGCTGAGGCGGAGGTGACCAGCGGGGGGGGTGGACTGTAGACGTCAGGAGGGGAGTCTAGGAAGTAAGTCTGCCTGGACCACCCACCTCCAGTGCACTGTCTCTGGAAGGGAGTGGCCGGGCAGTGGCCTCCTGGGGCGGGGGGGGGGGGGGGGGGGGGCTCCTCTCCCTCCACCCCGCCCTTCTAGGTGGGCTGTGGTCTAGACCCTCCCTGCTGAGCCCACAACGCCCAGGGCCAAGGGAGGCCGCCGTCCCGGCACGTTGATGTCGTGGGACTCACGCCGGACCGCAGCTGCAGAGAGGTGCCCTCCTGTCCCCTGGTCTCCAGGATGGTGGCACCTGTGATGGGGAGGGAGCAGTGGGCCGTGAGAGGGTGGGCTGCAGGCCGGGGGGGACAGGCCACAGAAACCACGGGGCAATCGATACAGACTTCCCTCACCCGGCTTCCCAGTGTCCTGACACTGGAGGGATGGGCCTTTCTGGAACACTCCAGGTATCACTGGCGGTGCCTGGGGATCTGGCCACAGGGACCTGGGACAAGGGACAGATGAGACTCCTGGTGGGACCCTGTTGGGAAATTTGGTGAAGAATCTTCGGGAAAAGCAGATTGCCTCCCGACATCCTTCCGAGGTTTAGGTCCGGATTTCTCGTCTTGGGGGTTTCTGGGCCACCTGCCACCGAGGTGCGGGGTTTCGTGTCACGGGTGCTCTTGGGGGGCCTGGAATGGCACCTCCCTGTGTACCAGCCAGTCCCCCCACTGGGCGTGTGGAGCTAAGGGGGCCCCAGCTGTCCCCAGCCCTGCAGAGCCCTCCCGCCGGAGCCGAGATGATTCAGAGCGCGGGCCGCTGCCCTGCCGGGTGCCTGCGGCAGGGACGCAATTAGATTTAATGGGACAGAGCCCTTTCTCCTGCGCGACTCGGCTCCCGCCCACCGCCTCCCTCAGGCGGCAGGAGGGGAGGCGAGGAGGTGGGAGGTGGGGGGCCCACAGGGGCCTTGACGTCAGCTCGGCCTATAAGAGGCCGCCTGGCGGAGGGCCGTGGAGGTGAGCCCCGGACGGACGCCCGCACCATGCCCACTCCCAACGCCGCCTCGCCGCAGGCCAAGGGCTTCCGCAGGGCCGTCTCCGAGCTGGACGCCAAGCAGGCCGAAGCCATCATGGTAAGAGGCCGGAACGGGCCGGAAGCGCAGGCGTGTCCCCCGAAGGCCGGCAGGGGCCTCAGACTCAGGGTGCCCACAAAGCTGTGGCCCCAGGCGTGGTGCGCGTGTGACCGCGTCCCGGGCCCTGGCGGTGGCTCATGGTGGGAGGTGCTGGGCCAACAGGCACGGACCCCGGTTCTGAGCCCCAGGGTGGTCGGGGCTCCAGGGCGATTTCCATCTGCCATGTCACCCGTCCCCCAGCCACGTGTCTGTGCCCGCGTGTGACCTCCTGTCCTGAATCCCACCTCCCCTGCCAGCAACCCCGGGCCCCCCTGGCCACCAGGATGGTCCCCAAGGCGTCAGCCACCACCCGAGGGCCCCCTGAGTTCGAGAGGTCTGTACTGGGGATTCTCACCGGGCCAGTACCTCCAGGACCCTCTCGGCCCGGAAGAGGGGCCTTCAGGGATGTCTCAGAACAGTCAGCTCCCCCAATGTTTCAAATAGGCTTTCGTGTTTCGACCTTTAAGGAAAATGGCTTTGGGCTCTGGAAACGTGATTTGCAGGCGGCCACTGCACCCCCTCCCCCCGCCCCTTGCCCCGGTTCTCAGTGAGATGGCCTCCCCACCCAGGGAGGCCCGGGGACACCCCCAGCCCCCCCAGTTCTGTCCATCCCCCCGAGGTCAAGTGGGGACTCTCGAGGGGCTTCTCCTGCACCCTTACCACCACCAGAACCTTCCTGGAAGTTCAGGTCCAAGGGATGAGCCCCAGACATGCAGCTCCTCCCCCACGCAGGCCTGGGGGCTCTGGTCTTGGGGACAGGCTGCAGCCCCGGGCACCTGGGTCCAGACGAAGGGCTAACTTTGGCCACGTGTCCCTGTGCTGTGGGGAAGGGCCAGGAGGGGACCCTAAGGAGAGGTCATTCCGAGGGGCTGGCCTGGGGGGGCCTCCCAGGAGCCAGACGTCACTTCCCTGCCCTCCCCAGTGCTCTGGCCGCTGTCTACCTCAGGGTCCGGAGTCACACCTCCTGTCGCCTCATCCCGTTAGGGCCTGGGGACAGAGGCAAGGCTGCCTGGGGGTGCCATGGGCTCATCCTCTTGCCACTCTGTGGC